GCTGGTCTGCCTCAGTGGTCCAACAGTGCTCGTCAATGTCAAACTGATCGAGATTGCCAATCAAATCAAAGAAGGCGGGTCTTACTGTCTTACTTTCTTTTAAAAGAAAGTAAGACAGTAAGACCCGCCTTCTTTGATTTGATTGGCAATCTCGATCAGTTTGACATTGACGAGCACTGTTGGACCACTGAGGCAGACCAGCCTAAAAGTTTAACTTTTAAAACTTTTTGTCATCCTAACAACAAACAGCTTTACTCATTCTTATACACAGAGTCTTATACCGTCTATCAGCTATGATTATTTTAGTCTTTCAAAGGACAAGATGGGTGGAAAAACAGTAATAAAAATGAGACAAATGACATAAAATGCAGGCCAGGAGGAAGCCCTCTAGAGGCGCGAGGCCCTGTGCGGTCGCACACTTGGCACAGCCCTTGCGACGCTACTGTTGTCATGTATTAATTAATCAGTCTGTGCCTTTAACACGAAACTACAATTGGTTGGTTCAGTAATTACACAGCATTAAAATCATTTTGTTCAGTTATACTGCATAAACAATAGCACATCTGTGAGTGAGGTTTCTAGTGACCTTTCAGTGACCTCCTTCTGCAACAACGGTCAAACAGTCTTAATAACACATGCATCTTTTCTACACAAGCTCATTAAAATCAGTTCATATGCGTAAAACTTGAGTAAGTTCAGCTAATGTGTCCTTACACCACACAAGAGGTGAATTGTTTAAAACGAATGAACACTTAGTTTTGGGTATAGAGGCAAAGTGTCATGGACATGCATGTGCAACTTCAAGATCACCACATAACCCGCATCCTTTACTCACTCCTACTCAAGGCATATGCAGGTGCGTTCATGCAACCAAGTAGTGATTACAGCATATTTCCATAGACTCTAGTCCCTCCTGAAGGCTGGAAAACTGATTCATCACTAAAAGATTTAGAAGTTATCTTATGTTCTTTCTTTCTTTCTTTCTTGCTTGCTTTCTTTCCTCTTCTTCTTCGTTATAACTATAACCACCAAAGTTTTTTTGAACACTGAGTATATATATATTGCTGTTACATTATAAAGATAAAATATAGCCTACATCTCTCTTTATAAAACCTTTTTGGCATAAAGAGAGCATAAAAATGAGTCTAGAACCCTAAGGTTCTGTATAAACTGAACTTCTGCATGAATGTTTGCATGAATGCACCTGCATATGCTTTGAAGAGGAATATAAGTCAGTTTCTCATCTTGGTCTGTTGTTACCGTAGACTTAAGCAGGACAGGAAGAAGCCCCTCTTCTACAAACTAAACACATACGCTCTCAATGCCCAATGTCATGCAAGAGATGCTTTGTGAGCCAAAAGATCAAACCAAGTTTCTTAAGAAAACCAACCGCAGCAGGTTTCAGTTTGACTCAGAGGCTGAGCTGTGAGTGCCGGTGTATATTTCAGTAAACCTGGTCATGTGAGATGAGAGACATTGTTCACTGTAAAAAGTGGTAACCTGCAATTGTTACTTAAAAGAGCTATTTTCACCTGATTTAACCCTGATTTAAAATTAGGTCGTTTGTATAAATGAATGCATGTGCTGTAGGTTGATTCAATGATCTTAAAATATTTTAAACTTGAATAAAACTCAGTAATACATGTGTTGCCATTTTTAGTTTACCATTTTTCAGTGTACTTTGATTATTCCACACACAAAATCTGAGAAAAAAAATATATAAACACACACAATCAAAATCACTAGAGTTTTTAAAATAATTAGATTTAGGCTCTATTTGACCATTAAATGTAGTTCATTTAAAATACAAACAATATTCTAATACATTTAGCTACTTAACATAGTCAGACAACAAATATAAAATGAAAATAAATACAAAATGTTACATTCAAAATTATAAATGTTTTTCACTAAATAAACATCTAAAGTCTTAAGAACATTTATATGTAACTATATATAACATGCGTTCAGTGTGTGTGTGAGAACGAGGAGGGTCAAACTGTCGTGGGAGGATTCACACACCGTTCTGCTGTTTTTTTTTGGTAGACAGTCTCATTAGATCAGACTCTGAACTGTTGAATAAAATGTTTCACATGTTTATTTTGTTCTGTATGTGCTGGTGGCGCCTGATTGGTAAGTTTTAAACGTATATTTATGGCTTCATTTTTTTTCCATTACACAATAATAAAGCTGCCTCTACTGTTGGTATATTTTCATCTGCTGTTTTCAAATCTCTTGTTGTTCTAAATATCTTACATTTCTGTCTCTGATGCTTTTCTTCAATTCATATTTAAAACCATTACAAACTGATTTCAGGCTTTGTAAACAGACCTAATCTGTGACAAAACCTTTTTCAATGTTCATCAGGTGTGTTTGGTGAGACAGTATCATTGATGGAGGGAGATTATGTCACTCTAAACACTGACGATATTAAAATATATGAGGACGATGAAATACTGTGGAATTTTGGAGCAGAAAAGTTTATTTTAGCTAAAATAAATAGAGAGGCTAAAATCTTCTCCATATTTGATGATGTTCCTGATGGGAGATTCAGAGACAAACTGAAGCTGGACAAACAAACTGGATCTCTGACCATCACAAACATCACAACTCAACATGCTGGAGACTATCAACTACAGATAAGTGGAGAAAAATTGACATCTAAAACATTCAGTGTTTCTGTCTATGGTGAGTGGAGATCTTTTTTTTTTCAAGCATTCACATATTATTGTTTTATTAAAGGAATATTTAAGTTCAATACAAGTTTAGCTCAGTTGATAGCATTTTTGGCATAATGTTGATTACTGCAATAATGAATTTTAACTCCTCCCTCATTAAAATAAATAAATCAATCAATCAAGATGCTTACAGTGGAAATCAATAGGATCAATGTTTGGAGGATTTAAAAGTGGAAATGTGAAGCTTATGATTTAATAAAAACACTCATATTAATTGTTCTCTTAAAATGTGTATTTGAACTGTGAAGCAGTCTAAATTATATTTTTTTACAGTCAGGGTTGTACAGTTCCAAAAATTATCAAAGTGACAAAGTTAAATAAAGTAAAATTAGATATAACTTTACAAAGAAAAGGTTATTAAGTGATTTTTCATGCTAAAATCATGTTAACATATTTTGTTCATGTCATCTGCCTCATTCACTGCCATTGTAAGCACCTTAGTGCATATTTATATCATCATATTTATCAAATAGACAGCAATGTGTAAAAATTAAAGGGGTTCACTCCAATAACCTAAACTGTACAATGGGTGTACCCCAAGGATCAATATTAAGCCCTTTATTATTTAGTTTGTACATTAATGATCTCCCACAGCAGTGCGAAGGGATACAAGTGCAAATGTATGCTGACGATACTGTTATATTTACACATGCGAGAACAGCAGAGTTAGCAGCTGAAAGCTAAATGCTGCTATGGAAAGTATTACACAGTGGTTAGAGCAATCGTGTCTTACCTTGAACACTGGTAAAACAAAAGGGACGTTTTTTTCTAAAATGAATGTGTGTTCTTCCAATGCAGATATTTTCATAAATGGTGAAAATATAGAAATTGTTACTGAGTTTAATTATCTTGGTTTAACGCTGGATCCAAATCTTAGTTTAAAAAAAACATGTAAAGAAATTGGTGAGGACTATAACATATAACTTGATCAATTTCAGACAACTTAGACAATGTCTACCCATTGATGTAGCCAAGACTTTTATGCATGCTACAATCGTTTCTCATCTGTCATACTGTCTGACATGTTGGGGTCAAGCAGGATAAACTGTTATTAAACCTTTAAAATCTCTTTATAAACAGACCTTAAAAACTCTAGACAAAAAGCCTAACCAATATCACCACTGTAGGGTTCTTGAGAAATAAATTTTTTTGAGCTTTGATAATTTTAGACTTTTCTCAAATTTGTGTATGGTATATACAATTTTAAATGGTTTAGCCCCTTCTATACTTCATGATTTTGTGCATTTTCGCTCTACAGTCTCTGTAAGATCTACTAGATCATCACCTAGTGGTGATTGTGTTGTTCCTTTTCGTCATTCTGCCTTTGGGTTATCATCTTTCTCAGTGAAAGCTATTATTCACTGGAACACTCTACCAGAAGACATAAGGATGTGCACATCTATTGACATGTTTAAATTAAAACTAAAATTTTATTTAATTTACTCAAATCTGTAAACACTGATTTAGTTGTGGCTTAACTGAACGTTATTTTTACTGTTCTTTTTTGGCTCTGATGGGATGTGTATAAGTATTACTGTATTGTATGTGTTTGTTATTTTGTTCTTATGTCTGTTTGTGATTATGATTACCTGCCAAGGGACCGCGGATGAAAACTAGCCATTGGCTAAATTCGGTACAATGCATGAAATGGAAACATTTATGT